CACTAAGACTTTGTACTAATAAAAGATTTCCACAAAATCATGTTTTTTGTGGACAAACACTTATCATGGCCTCAGTAGGATAAAACCTTGGTTCAAAGTTTATGGAGTAGTATTTCATAAATATTTCATCTTGTAGGTAATCAAAGTAAGGATTTTCTTTGGAGGTCTGCAGTCTGAAAAATACAGGAAGGCATGGGAGGGCTGTTTGTGTGGGATTTGACCTGCAAGCCTGCAGAAGTGTTTTAATGCAACATCCTTATACTGCTACACCTAATGTGAATTCAGAGATTCTTTAAGTTGACTTACAGTATCACTGGTGCCACTTCATCCCTTTCAATCTTTGTCATTTCCTTCTCCCTGCAGTATTTGTGAGACTACCATGCTCTTTGTCCTTTGGTTTCTGTTCTGGTACCTGGCCTTTTCTGGACTTGGAAATACTGTGAGAAGCAAGAATTTACTGGATTTAGTATTACATGTCTTGCATTTGATACACTTAAATGGCAGATTTGGAAGTCCAGCCACTTATCTGGTGGCTCTGTTTTGCATATGTTGCTTGGATTATCTAATGCAACTGTGCAAAATTTCCTCCTCCTGATTCTGGGAGAAGTGATAAGTGTGAGCTTGCTACACATGGGTGTATCATACTCATGCTTGAAAACAGTGTCTTCCTCTTGAAAAGTGTGTGCAGAAAGCATATGTATGAAGGAAACTGATTTGTAATTGAATTGATCACATCACCTGCTTTCCTTCTCTTGCTTTGGATTGTAATAAATACTTTGTATAGCTTTTTTCTTCCATGATTGTACTAGCTGGGTTAAAATTACTCCCAAGTTCTGCATCCCAGTGTGTACTTAAGAAGTATAACTGTGTTTATGTTAAAGGCAAAGTTATGAAGAATGAATGCAGATGATAATTGCCATAAGCATTTCCAGGAGGTTTCTAAATAATTGTAAGATCCATACCTCTGAGACTTTCTTGAAAGTATTTGTTTCAGTGATGCATAGAGTCTCTGGCCCCAAAAGTCCATTCAAGTGCTTGTAGTCCAAATAAACATCCAGCTTTATGATGTCCCCAGTGGCTGGGCTAATTTGTGCTGTTTTGTGATTGCAGTGCTATAATTCTGGGCTTTAGTTGTTCCCACAACATCTTGGAAGTCAGCAGTCAAGATCAGATTTCCTAACAAACAGTTTGGTGTCTTTACATGTATGTCCAGTGATTCATTGTCTTGGGATGTTTGTAAATGGTGAGGTCTTGACATGCTTTTGGGGAGGATGGGAAGTGCCATCTTTCTACTAAAGAAAACACAGAATTATGTATACTTGGGGGTTTCCTTTTACACAACTCTAAGAGGTCAAAGAACTTTATTTATCTGCTTGTAATAGACAATTTTATTGAAATTCAGAGAGGAGTATAGTTTTCATTAGTCTTACAGACTTGGTTTTGGTGAAAAATTAAAATTTATTAACAGAAACAGAAACTTTGTCATGCAGTATTTCTTAACTCCTTTTGCTAGACACAGAAATATTTCAGACTCCCAGTGCCTCAAATTTGGGTTCAACAATCTCTGCTGAAACCCAGTCATCTAGATAAAACTTACCCCAACTGGCACGGTTACAGAAGCAGCTCTGCAAGCGCTGACAGTAAAAGCTGCAAGCAGGAGACAGGTTTCAGGGCAGTAGGAGCCTGTGTTCTGCAGGATTGGGTATGGCTGTTGAGGAAGGTCAGAAGCACACAAAGCCTGGTCAAGTCTGCAAGTGCGCATTGGTCCAGCTGCATTGTTCTTTGAGCATATTGCCTGTTGGGGTCCCTGCATGCCATCTCCTTTCAGTGCAGATTAAAGGCCTGGGTCTTATTTACTCTCCAGTAGTGTGCATGGCTGAGCTGGTCCACACAACAGCTTCCTAGTTTCTGTTTGAGCTTGAACATAGAAGAATAAAGATTCATGACTCCCCACCCCCTGCCAGAGTAAATTGACCTCTTGGAGGCATCTCTTCACCTAGTGGTGTGAGGATAATGCAGGGCTATGTACAGAAAGAAAAGAGCAAGCTTTCTGATAGGACAGAGCCCAGGGCCTTTCTTTTGGGGAGCATTCAAGTGTGTTAGGCTAAAATAGAAAACAGGTGAAAGAAGCCTGCACCCTGCTGCATGACTTATCATCTAAGTCTCCCTTGCAGCAATAGCTGCTTCATCTTAAACCTTGGGGAGTGACTCTTTCTTGTGTTTCTTACTGTTGTTTTTGACAATCTGATCTCTCATACACCACTGATTGCTTTTTGTGATGGTCCCCAGTAATGACTCAAAAGTTCTGACGCTAGAGAGGCTCCTGATAGAGTTCTGTACCTCAGACTCTCACCCTTCTGCCACTTTTTAAATCTTGCATCTCACTCAGTTGTACCTGTAGATCCTCTGGGCCACAAACAAGCTTTGTCTCATGAAGAGTGAATGGCCTGCCTTCTGGATAGTGAATACTGCATCACCCAACCCTTTATGTTCCTAGCCTGAGTGACTCCTGATTGATCACGTCTTGTGAAAAATCTAATATCCCATACCTGTTTGTATTTGTATGCATCTCTTTCACACATATTTATTCAACTGGTCTGTTCTCTTTTGCACAATATTAGCCCATCATTTTTCTCTCACATGCAGACATAGCTCATTGCCTTGGCAACAGTGAGCAAAGGCACTCCGTGGAAGTAAGTACAGATAACTGTGATAAAAAATATATTATTATCACTGCATTAAATTAAATTTAAAATAAAGAGCCCAGCTACAGAAAATCACTCAAGCAATTTGACTTATTGAAATGGGATTCATCCATGTGCTACAGTGATTTCCTACATTCCAGTCTAAATCACTGCTCTGAGCAAGGATGACTGAAGATTGATGGAGGAGTAGTATGTTAAATGGTGTGGCATGAGCAGCTATTCAGTAGCTCACTCACACATGAAATCCATGTAACTGTAAGCTCTTAAACTGGCTCAAGGAAAATTATTTTAAGACCATACATTGCCCCATAGATTGCTTATCTTTATGTCTTGTCCCTTTCCTTCTGAAAGATTTGGATTAGGAAAATAAGAGTTCAGAGACTTGGCACTGCTTTTCACTTCTGAAGATGAGATTTGGCTCATGCATTGTTGCCTGCATGAGGTGAATGCCTCATCTGAATTTGGAATATACACTGCCCCTATCCTTGTCAGTTGAGAGGGACTTCTCTACAAGTCCAAGCTGACCAACCTGCCTGTCATTTGAAAGGAGTGCATCACCCTTTGGAAGCACCCCTTCATCTGCTGTGGAGGTAGGGAAGGAGGAATGAATCCTTCTCCCCTTCCCTTTGCACATACCTCTCCTCTGTGTTGAAGGTGAGAGATGGAAGCTAGGTCTGGCATCTCATATACCTAGTGTTTGTTTTACAGTAGCTAATTTTACTCAATTACAATATTTCATTGCAGTCATTCCTGTTCCCTGCTGCACCTGGTCTTTTTTGCTGACATGATGGAATTCTTGCTTAGCTGTACCTGGAGCTGAGCCATCCTGAACTAACAGATACCCTCAGTATTAGGTTAGGTCAACATAATAGTACATAAGCTTTGCTCCTTCTGAAGACAAAATTTAATCTGAGGAGGTGGGGCAAAATCCATTTACTGTCTGAGAAAATATGGTACCCAATGGGTGTGCATTGCAATGTTCAGTTTAAAGGTTTAATCTGAGCTAGATTGGTTTATGCTCTTAGGCTCTGGGGGGAAGCTCATCTTGTGCTCAAATGGTACCATCCAACTCATGCCTTAAGCTGGTACATCATAAGTAGTTTGCTGTTGTGGCATGACAAACTGGAATTTTAGTACTCCAGTTCATTCAACCCCTTTTGGAATGAAAAGTCATTAATCCCTTATGTTTAGTCTCCTGATATTCTCAGCTCTATTAGAATTCTCTTTATAACTTCTTGCTTTCCCTGGCTACTAGAATAATTCTGTTGGTTCTATTGCCATGTATTTATGAACAGTATTATCAGAAAACAGTTCTTCTGGAGATTCTTCTAATTTATGTAGGCTGTTAAATGAAGAAATGTTTTATGAAAGCTGGATCTATGAGGGCATGTGCAAGGCCTTTGTTCTCTCTTTGTTCTCTCTTTCTTCTGCTTCTCAGCAGAATCTGGTCTGATGACAGATTAGAGTGATGGTGGAAGCTATTCTGTGAGCAGAGCATACAGTCAGGAAAGCTCCTGCAGTCTTTGAGTAATCATTTATTCACTATGATGCCAAAGTACAATCTTACCAGCCATGACAGCTGTCTGAAAATGGAGTAGAGATGTAAATCACAGAATGAGGGCAGAACTATCTAAGTCCTTCTAAAACTGAGTCCTTTCATCAGCGTGGCTGAGGTCAAGTTTCTGGCCCCAGTGGCATATAATGAAGAAGTTGGTCCATTTGATGGTCTAAGTTGTTGGCTTTCAGGGTGGAGAGTGTTTTGGCCAGATTCTGACCTTCTTTGCATCACCACCAGTAGGAGACTCACTGCTGCTTTTGAACAGGAGTGTCCAAACTTCATCTCTTATTCCCTCAAGTAATCCACAATGGCCTGATAATCACACAGTCAGGTTGAAAAAGATGTCTGAGATGATAAAGTCCAACCTTTGCCCAACCACCACCATGCCAACTAGACCATGGTTCTAAGTGACGCATTCACTCTTTCCTTAAACACTTCCAGGGATGGTGACTCCACCACCTCCCTGGGCAGCCCATTATGCAGCAACCTGTGGGACCAGAGTAATTGCAATCACATCTGCATTTTAGAAAGGCACAATGTAGTAATTGGAGTGACCTTGGGAAAGTTCAGCAATCACTCATTAGAGATCCTGTGTTTCTGGTGCATGTTGATGGGGAGTGATAAAGCCCTGCCTGCCTTGAGTGTGGCACCTCCTGTGATGAGGAAGGACTTTGTTGTTCTTCTCCCTCGTTCCATGTGGTTGGTGAGTTCTGATGTCATTTTTCTTTTAACTGCAGGTCATTTCATGGGCAACAACACAGTGATTGATGTTTTGAGGAGAGAAGGGTATGAAGTAGAACACACTCCAGCTGGACAAGCCGTCAACAAGTAATGCATGCTTTTACCTAGCTGAGCAGCCATTGGGGGGAGTTTGTAAACAATTATGAAGTAGGAATGGTAGCTGGAATTATAACTAAGAGGGAGCTAGGCTTTTTCTCTCCTTCCCAGCAGTTTGCTTTTCTCTTCCATGAGCTAGTTTGGAAAGGGGATTTTATTTGGTTTTGTTTTGGTGGGGCTTTTTTCTTTGTTTATTTTGTTTGTTTTTTGGGTTTTGTTGTTGGGGTTGGGGCTCTTTGGTTTATTGGTTTGTTGTTGTTGGTTTTGTGGTGGTTTTTTTGTGGGTTTGGGGTTTTGGTTTTTTTGTTTTGTTTTGTTTTTTGTTTGTTTGTTGGGGTTTTTTTGTATTTTTTTTGGGTTTTTGTTTTTCTTGTTAATAAAATTTCTATCCTTGTAAGTTTTTAACTCTTAAATGAACAGCCACAGATTATGTATGCTTGGTTCATCAGATCTGGATGCTGTCTTGTATCACACAGGCTCCCAGGTTTCTCTTTCCTCTCTTTTTTATGTTTGACTCCCCTGCCTTTAAATAATGCCCTTCTTTTTAACTGCTATTTTTTATTATTTCTTTTTACTCTCTCCCAGTCTGGAATCTGATTGCCCAGAGTATTTGCAAGCTGTGTCTATGACTGATTGCTTTCATGTCCCCTCTTTTCTTCTGCATTTTTCAGCTAAGGTACTTGTTGTTCTGGTTCATCCTGCAGCTGTCCTTTGGGATATACCCTTCCTGCTTCTTTTTATCTCTCACTGGATGCTTTTATCCACCTCCATGGTTTCAGTAACTAGAGAATGCCAGATAATCTCCTCCTCCACTCTCTACTGAGAATTACTTGTGCTTTGACTCACCTCTTCCTGGAATTCTTGCCACCAGCTTAGGGTCTGCAATCTTTGCTTTCCCCTTCTCCAGACTCTTACCAAACGTGTAGCTGTCAGACATACTTGCTCTTCTCTCCTAAAAACCACAAAGGAGAAAATTGGAAATTGGTCTCAATTACAGTACTGTTTTCCTTTTATCCTCTCTGCTGGCCATAGTGTCCCTGTTTACATTTCTGTCCCTCCTTCCCCACATTTCTGGTGTGGGACTCTCACGCAGGACTACTGCCTTTTGATAGGATTTGTGCAGAGGGCACAGTGTTGGGTCTTGATCTGTGCCAAGGGCTCTACAGGTGTGGTTCAAGTTAGTAACAGCTGTTTTTCTCATACTCTGATTGCTTCCTTTTTCTCTTTATGCCACCTTTGCTGTTGTCCGAAAACATGATATTGAAATTCTGGCAGGTCGTGTTTCTGCAATGATTCTTAATATGGACATACATCATTAACTCTACATGCACTGAAAAAAACTGATTCAAGACTTGGCCCATGATTATATGAATGCCAGTCCCTAACCCTGTTTCTATCAGTGGGCATGTGGTCTGACAAGGAGAAGCACCTGTGCTTAAGCACAAGACTTAATGATTCTGTGACACTGGAGTTGTGCTAGAAAATCAGTGCTTGTAAGGATGATTAAAAGCTAACAAACAAACAAAGAAAAACCCAAAACAGCCTGCACTGATATTTTCATGTTTTTTCATTCTTAGCTTAGTTATTCCTAAAAACAGCTACAGCAGCTTCTTAAAGCTTTAAGAAAGATAGCTTAATAGGTACCTGAGGATAAACAAGATCTGATACTGCTCTGTAAAGATGTAACTGTAAGGGCAGACAACTGAATAAAGGAGGGATAGATTTTCACTTATCAGGAAGGCTGGTATCAAGGTTACTTGGAGTAGCTGGGCACCCAGTTCCATAGCCACATTGTGGGAGTTCATTTTTCAGCCTCTTGTGCCTTTGAAAGCCCTCAGTTTGGCATCAGTTGCATCTTAAACCTCTTATTAGGACTATTGGACAGAACATCTTCCCTGGAGACTTGATACTAAACCTGAGTAACAAGATGGCACTTCACTGTTGGCATTTCTGGATGACTTGGAAACAGATTTAAAAATATTAAATGCATTTTAAGAAAAATGTGGGTTCAAAGGAAAAGAGCATTTAAAGTGAGGGAAAGGACCTGTGGAAAGAGTTTGTCAGAGTCCTAGGGCTTGGAAGGAAGATTTCACTTAATTGCTATCCAGGGCTTGTTCTAGGGGCAAATAGCAGAGCAGTCTAGACAGGAAACCCAGTGCTGCTCACGTAAATGTGGAGCTGTATCCAGCTATTGTCCTATGTAGTGCTGCACACAGTCCAGTCAGTACCTGTGGACTATTTACTGTTCATGACTGAGACAAGGTAAAAAGGCAAGTGGTTGAACTGAGACAGAGAGTTTAAATGACTGCTCTGGTGTCAGACACAGTAGGTATATTAGTTGAGAGATCCTAAAATACAAGGAGGAGGAAGTCTGCAGTCATCTCCTTTCCCTGCAACGTGATGTTTTGCTGTAGCAGCACAGTCTGCTGCTTCCTGTGCTCTGGCTAAACAAAAAGTTCCTTGTGAGATATGTTGTAGATATCTGTGTGTAGGAACCAATGAGAATGCAGGATAGTCATGCTCATCTTCCTGTAGCAGGCAGGGCTGCCTGAGGTGTACTTTCCATCTGCAGAGCAAATGGGGTGGATGTCCCTAGTTGGAGACAGAAAGGTTCCTTCTCCCTGGTCTCTCCCAGGCAGGGAAGGCAAAAGAGGTGCCCCAAGCAGGCAGTATGGCAAAGAACAGTTTATAAATAGTACCACAAGTTTAGTCAAGCTCCTTCTGACTCACTTTGGTCTTTAACTCTTGTTCCTGATTTTAGAATATAGTAATATATTGTAAAATATTCAACACAATTGCAGCCATAATTAAGGTGCTTGCTGACTCTCCCTTAGCTGCTGTGATGGGAAATTCACCTGGGGGGAAGAAGGATGGGCTTTTGAATCTGTTCCTTTTCCAGTGGTCTCTAGAAGAATTGCCTGCAGGAAGTGTTGCAAAGGAGGTTTGGAATATGGATGTGTCTGAGGCTGCATCTATCAGAATGAATGTCTGTCCATGCAGTGTGCAGGTCATCTTCTACCTGTAGCAGTGCTGAGCTACAGCATGTGTGGCCATGGGCTCAGAAGGGAAGGCTGCAGGCAGCATGGCACTCTAATCTACAGGGGTGAGGTCCTACCCGCTCTGTGACTTAGTTAAGGAACAAAACAGTGAAGAGAAATGGTGGAAAAGGGAATCATGGGCAGAAGATCTTGAAACAGATTAAATCAGGTTGCTGGAGAGAGCTAATGAGAGTTCATCACTCTGCAAGGTGGAGTTAAAGAGTGGATGATGTGAAGCAGCTGAGGATGAGAGCTGAAGGGTGATGACAGTCCAGAGGCAATGAAGTGTGACAATGTGTGACACTGCAATGATTTTGAATGAGATTGATAACCAGGGTCCGTTCTGCAGCAGACTCTCTCAAAAAACATGTGAATACTCTGATTTTCCTTGCAGCAAATAAGACAAATTTTCTTTGTTTTCCATCTACTCTCTCAATGTTCTAGTCCACAACTTCATTTCCCCTTCTCCAGGAACTACCCTGTATTTGCTGTCAAATAAGTGTGCATACAGTGATGGGCTAGCTTTAAAAGTGCACCCATGCCGAAATATGCCTCCTTCCAGACCACCTCCTTTTCATGTCATTGGAAGCTGAAAAAGGAACACAGTTTTAGGGAAGTTTCATTGATTAAAGGCAGGTTTCTGCTCGATGGTCTGTGGTTTTCTGTTACTTTCCTGAATTTCAGCCCAAGACAGTCTGCACTTTTGTTACAAAAGACTATTGCATTTCTTCTCTTTATGAAGTAGGCATAAAGATCAGTCAGATATTCCTGTTAGGTTCTGTGTACACATAGACTGGTTTGAGTTTGTGGTTTTGTGCTCACAAACAAGTAACAAGGGAAATTTGTTTTCCAAACAATGAGAAATGTGGGCCAGCAAAACCATGAATGAATAGAATACTGCAGACTGCCTGCCTTGGAGTATAGATGAGATGTTGCTTGCTCTAAAAATAAAGAAACAGCTTCAATAATCACAGTGAAGCTGATTGTTGTTTTTTTTCAATTTATCATCTTTGCAGGAAGCTGAGTAGTCATAGCCCTGAGAGATTTTTCTGGGAGCTCTACTTGGCGTTTCCAAGATTTGTCTTGTATAGGACAGTTTGTACATGCCCATAGTCTCAGTACATATCTCACTGGAGCTGCTTTGAAATTCCCAATAATGCTACCAGCATAATACAGGGTCTGGGCAGCTGGGAGGTTAAGGTCTGACTCCCACTCCATCATTACTTCCTATAAATGTGTGCAAAGCTCAGCTCTGTTTATGAGAGAGATGCAATTTCTCAGTTTCCTCCCTTTCATGTAGACCTCCATACTTGTCCATAAAACCCACTAGGACCACCATTTCATGCTCCTTGGTGTGCTTTATCCGAGTGGCAGAACAGCATTACACCCTTTTGCATTCAACCCTAGAAGCCAATATCACAATTGTGTGCTGAGCTCTGGTCTCTTATGTGTCAGACATGTCCTCTGATGTGATCTTTTGTAAAGGCTGTGAATCCACTGCATTGTACTGTCTGCCTTCGTCAAGAAGAAAATGAGAAGAGAGTGAACTTGGTGATGCCAAAACTAATCGGCTTTCAGTTGATGCAGACTGATGGCCCAAAGGATTCCTTAATCATAGAATCATAGAATGTTAAGGGATTGGAAAGGACTTCAAAGATCATCTAGTCCTAATCCCCCTGCCATGGGCAGGGACACTTCCCAGTAGACCAGCTTGCAAGGTCTTATGCAACCTGGCTTTGAAAAATGCCAGGGTTGGGGCACAACAACCTCCCTGGGCAACCTCTTCCAGTATTTCACCACCCTCACAGTAAAGAATTTCTTCCCAATACCTGTCCTAAATGCATCCCTTCTTCAGTAACAGACAGGAGTGTCTGTTACTCCTGTCACTACAATTCCTGAGAGAATCCCTCTCCAGCTTCTCAGTAGGACCCTTCAGATACTGGGAAATTGCAATGAGGTCTCTACACAGCCTTCTCTTCTCCAGGATGAACAGGCCCAGCTTTTTCAGTCTGTCTTCACAGGGACATGCTCCAGTCCCTCTTGTGGCCTCCTCTGGACTTGATCCAGCAGTTCCACCATGTCCTTCTTATGCTGAGGACCCCAGAGCTGGATGCAGGGTTCTGAGTGGGCTCTCACCAGAGCAGAGCAGAGGGGCAGAATCCCCTCCCACACCCTGCTGCCCACGCTGCTCTGGATGCAGCTCAGGGTCCCATTGCCTTCCTGGGCTCATGGCTGGGTCATGTTAAGGTTTTCTTCAATCATCACCCCCAAGTCCTTCTCCTCAGGGCTGCTGTCAATCTCCATTCAACATGTGGCTGTGTCTGGGATTGCCACAACCCAGGGACAGGACCCTGCACTTTGCCTTGTTGAACTCCATGGGGTTTGCACAGACACACCCCTCCAACTTGTCCAGGCCCTTCTGGATGGCATTGCTGCCTGCCAGGTGTGTTAGCTGCTCCACAGAGCTTGGTGCTGGTGCCAGACTTGCTGAGGGTGCCCTTGATCGCACTGTCCATGCCGCTGATCTTGAACAGCAGTGGTGCCAGGACTGACCCTGGAGGGAGACTCCTCATCACTGGTTTCCATGTGGACAAGGAGCTGTTGACCACAGTTTTTTGTGTGCGGCCTTCCGGCCAGTTCTTTATCCACCAAGCAATCCATCCATCAAATCTGTGTCTATCTAGTTTGGATATCATGTCAGACAGTGTCAAACACTTTGCCTATGTCCATGCAGACGATGGCAGTTGCTCTGCCACATCCATCAGTGCTGCAGCCCCATCAGAGAAGATAATCGAATTTAACAGGCATTGTTTGCCCTTGGTAAAGCCGTATTGGCTGTTTCCAATCACCTCTTTGTTTTCCATGTTTGTTTTAGTCTTCAGGAGAATCTGCTCCATGATCTTGCCTCACCCAAGAGGTGAGACTTTTACTTTCTCCTTTTCAAAAATGAGGGTTATATTTCCCTTTTTCTAGGTGTTGGGAATTCTACCTGAGTGCCACAAGTTTTCAGAAATTATTTAGTAGTAGCTTAGCAACTTATCTGCCAGCTTCCTTAGAACCCACAGATGAATCTCATCAGGCCCCACTCACTTGTGCATATTCAGGCTATTTAGATGGTCTCAAACCTGATTCTCTCCTACATTGTGCTTAGGGCCTTCATACTCCCATTTGCCTTTCCTGACTTGGGCAGCTTGGCTGGAACACTTGCCATTGAACACTGACATATAGTGGTCATTGAGAACCTCAGCCTTCTCTGGGTCCAGCATGCAGCCATGTTACTGTTAATGGCATGCTAAGCCTTTCCCTTCAAAGGTGGTAATTTTCAAGATGTGTTTCTGTAGCCATGGTCATGGTCTGTGAGCTACCTTGTTTCTTACCTTCTCCACCAGTGAGAGGTGCTGATCCAGACCTGGTTTCATCAGCTGGTGTGCTTTAGTTGTGTTGTTTGCCCTTCCCTTTGTCCCCCAAGTTAGTTTGCTCTGGGCCCGAATGTTGAAAGGAATAATCTGGTCTGTGTTCCACAGCACATCAGATTAGAGAAGTGTGGTTTGACTCTGACTTAGAAGTGATTCCGTTTTTTGTCTCTTTCTAGATGTGCAAGCTTATTACCAAGAGTTACTCCAGCCTTATCCAGACTGCATTCTTTCCTCTGACACAGACTGCCTCTTTTCCAAAGTTTTTTTTTTTTTTTTGCTAAAGAGTACTATTTTGATGATAAAATCAATATTGGCTTAAGGAAGAGGGAGCAGGAACAAACAGCAGAGACATGAGCATCCAGGGAGAAACATCTATTTTATATGTATGTGCCTTGATACAGGATTTTGCCTCAAAGCCCTTTTAAATGCTATCTGTGTTCTCTCTTTCTTCCAGCCGAAAATCTCCCAAAACCTTGTTAGCCTTTTCATCATCACACAGTCCCTATGTCATGTCCCATGAACTCCCACTGCACCCCCAGAAGGAGGAGGAAGAGGAGGAGGGAGAGTTCCTGCCTCACCTGCTATTCCCTGACAGCATTGATGTGCTCGTGAAAGTGGACAGGAAGTACAAAAAGAAGAAGAAAAAGCAGCAGAAGAAGCAAAAACTGAGACAATTTAACGACCTCTGGGTTCGCCTTGGAGAAAGGTAGCTAATGGCTGGGGAGGGGGAGGATGGCTTGTCAAACTGGGCTTTAACTTCGATGGCTTCATACAGACCCTCAACCTTCTGCAGGGGTAGATATATCCTGTGGACAGGATCTGACCTTCTCCACTGCTGTGATTCTTTCTGAAGCATTTGCATGAGGTTTCTTGTGCTTTTAGTGGCAAAAAAAAAGCTTTCTTTTTTTTCTTTGCATAGCTAGATTTGCAGAAAACTAGGCATAAAATAAGTGGAAGTCTTGTCTAGATCATTCTCCATTTGGGCTTGAGGGATTGTGAGCATATGGCAGTCCTCTCTTTCATGGAAGGCTGGGTCCAGTGGTAGATGGTACAGATCAAAGCATTGGATCATTAAACAAAAGCTGCTGCATATGAGGAAACTATTATTCCTGACATATGTTCTCCTTGTACTTGGGCAATATTCATGCAGTATTTTCAGTCTCTGTATTATTTCAGTCTGAAAAAGCATGACATCCTAATGGATGGCAGAGTTTATATTAAAAAATGAGTGTGTTGTGGGGCAGATGTTCACACATATCAAGCTTACTTACCAGAACTACAGCAACTCTCAGAAAAAAAAAAAAAGGCCAATTTCTCTCATTACCTATAAGGCCTGTGACTGAATGTATACCTTAACGTTTCCCTCCTGTCAGAAAACACACATGCCCAAATATGCTTTCTTTTGTACTTTGTGTGTTTGTATCTCTGCCATACTTAGCTTGAAGGCATTAAATTTTTGTGATACCACAAACAACCAGACAGGTGGGGGTAATGGAAAAAGTCTGACAGTTCTTGAAACTAAGCCTGTACATTATTTGGGTTTTTCCCCTCTGAAGAATACTTCTTCCTGCTCCCCACATTACTCAGTATGGCAGAGTTCTCCTATGCCTTTCCTATCATGTCCCTGTGTCCTAATTGTACCACTGCTATGAATGATACGTGGCTCAGGCTGGCCACAAGTGGCTGCAGCAGCTGTTTTCTTTGAGGCACTCAGCCATTGTAAGATCTTTTAGACCGCATTCCCTTCTTTGCTCCTTCCTTCAGCCTTAATATTAACTATTTGGGAGACAAATGCTCATGTAACATGTCATCTGACAGAGCTACACACAGTCCAAGATTCACCAATATAACAAATCCTATACTGATCACACTTCATTTTGTCTCTTATTGTACCATTTACTTTCTGTTAATGTAGTTTATACTAGCTGGTTGTGAATGGATATTTGGAGTTTCTGTTGATAGTCTGTTTAGTCAAAATGCTAACAAATATCTGTCTTAATCTCCCACTGTGCCTCCACAATGCCATGTTCAGTGTTTCACATGCAGTTGCTCCCACAAAGCTCAGGAAGTCAGAGGGCAGTGACTCTAAGACACCTGTGCACTTGCAGTATCAAGCCTTTAGAAGAAGACGGAAGATGGGAAGATGTGCTACTGTGACCAAATTGAAGGCATATTAGGGCTGCATAGATTTGAAGTAGTGCCAGGAAGTAGTGAGGCAAAAGCAAAGACAATGATGGCAGCCTAGGAAACTCTTGCATAAATATGGTAACAGGCAATGCTGCTTTTCTTTTCTTCTTTTTATGTTTCCTTTCTTCCTCTACTATTTAAGATGTCCTTTGTGCTAGAAGCTTACCCTGGTGCTAGGTGACAAACGCTTTGTAGGGCGACTCCTTAGCAGCAGAGAGGAGCTTCAACATCTGGAGATGGAGATGTTGCATGGCAGTGCTGAGAAAGACAAAGGATGCCTGGGAGATTGCTGTGCCCATAGTGCCAAGGGAAGGCAGCTGTCCCTCAGGCAGGAGCCCCACCCGTGCACTGGGCCTCTGTAAAGCCCTGGCTGTCTGCTGGGCTCTGCCACAGCGCCCGTGCTGCTGCCGGGCTGGGCTGACAGCCCCACCTCGCAGAGCATCCCTTCCCAAGGAAATCCAGTACCTCTGGGCTCCAGCTCACCTGTGCAGGGCACGTCTGCCTCTCGCTCAGTCTCACGAGTCTCGTGAGTCTCAGCCCTCGCTCCAAACATTGCTCAGGGTGTGCAGACACCGGTAAAGCTGTTGGTTTCTTACGAATGGGCCATTCACAGCTTTCTGGCTTACAGATGGGCTTGATGATCTTAAAGGTCTGTTCCAACCTACATAATTCTATGATTCCTCCCGTGAGCCTGAAAATGTGAAAGGTGCAGCTCAAGTGATTTAGTAGTGTTGTAGTGCGCTTGTCAGAATGGCCTTGGTTCGTGCCCCTGTATGCATCAGCTGCTGGCTGTATTTCCTTGATGTGCTGCCAGCTGGCTTCTCTCTGGCCATTGTTCAGATCTTCCGGGGAGCCCTTTGGGTAAGGAAGAGTAAAGTGTTTTTAAAAAGGATTGTAATTGCCTTTAATTTCCCAAAGCATTTTTGCTTAGTGGACCGAAATAAGAATGGTACACAGCAGCTGGAGATTGGTTGCAGAAGAAATTACTTGGTTTTGTATTTGCTAGGTGGACTTGCTTTTAGTTTTGTCCAGATTTGTCTTCAGGTTCTACACAGCACCCTGCAGTCCTGGGGGGTATGTGAGGCGCACACCTGTGGTGTCAAGCATTGCTTTCAGTCCATTGCCAAAGAGAACTACAACCTGTGTAGTGTCTGACCCTTCTGACTCCTGGCCTGCTGTGGTGTGTGATCTCCCCCAGATCAGGTTCAGTTGGCCTTAGCAGCCTGGAGCATACAAATTTCTCTCCTCCATCATGTATTACCACTATGGGAGTTCAGCTTATGTATGCTCTAATTCAGTTCTTGATCATCCTGATGTCAGAGTACTCTCTACCACTGGGAAATACTCTGAAATGTGGTGATCTTGGATGTGTTTCTGGAAGCCATTCTTCTCTGCTTGAAGTATGTCATGTAAATCTTTTTGTAATTCCTGACCTGTGGAAGAGATCATACAGTATAGGAACAAGGTGGGCCCCTATGAAGTGCGGTGCAAGGAGCATGGCTGAGGAAGATGTACTCAGAAAACAGGTGCCTCACTCCAGCTGTGCTCAACAAGTGCCCCAGCAGTGACACTCCTCTGCAACAACACTTGTTTTCTTCTTATCTATTTTCTGCTCAGCTGACAGAGGTTAGAATATGGTCATCTTACGCACCTGACTGACTGTATGGGAACAATGAGCAGGCTGGGTAGATTTGAGACAGAGCCAGTATTTTGGTGCTGTCATCACCCTCCTCAGTCTCTTCACTCTTCCCCCTCAAGTCTACTTCACAATTTGGCTGGGTAGCACCTCATCCCTGTGGGCTGGTGTGGGAGCTGTCCACATGTATGAGGAAGGGACAAAACAGCACTCTGCCATTTAGGAGGCACAGAGTTTTGGTCAGTGTGTGTAACTTGTACAAGAGACCATTCGGATGGACCCAGAAAACTGACAGGGGGTCACAGAGGCTGACCACCTGCTGCTCTATGGCTGTTGGGCAGCTGTGGGCTGGGTCAGGACTGATGTTCTTCTCTTGCCTTGCAGTGCTACTGATCCTCCTCCGCGGATCCGCATCATCAATGGCTACATCACGGTCGAGCCCCAGCCCCGGGGCCACAGGCGGTCCAGCCACGCTCGTGCAGACACCAGCAGGGCTCACCAGATTCCCCATTCCCTCTGCCTTCCACTGCTGACTTTGACTTTGTGTAAGATAATGCTTCATTGAAACGCAGGAGGACCCAAGCTGCAAGACTCTTGCCTTAAAAATCAAAGAAAGAAGTTTATGCAAAAAAGAAATAGAAGACTATGAGTGGGACACCTATTCTTTGGGATGTTCTTAAACTGCTTCCTTTTCCTGAGTCCAGATCATTAACTCTGTTAACTGATTTGACCTTCCCAATAGAGGAGAAGATATTTTAATGAAAGTGTTATTTATCCTTCTCTTGCAGAAGAATGATTTCATGTTATCCCATAATACTTTGGGGAGATTATAATGCCGCTATAACATAGCTGTTGTTTAGCTGTTTGAGCCCAACTAAAGTACATATTTTTCACCTTCAGTGCCTTGTAAAAAGATTTACCACTGACTTGTTTATTAGAACAGAATATTTTGATCATATGAGCACAGCTGGGAAAGAGAGTTGGTATTTTATGTCTCTACTGGTAATGCTTTTAATTCTTGCTTGTTAGGGCTCCAGATTACATATAAAGGTTCATGGCAACACCTACAGTAGAATAAAACAGTGAACACTTGTGAACAGAATGTGTCTGCTGTTTGTTTGGTGCTATTTAAGATGGGTCCCCCTGAACCTCTAGTGGCCGGGCAAGTCTTATAAGTGCAAACTAATATATATTTAAGAAAAAAATAATTCTGTGGGAACTTCACAAATCACAATGTTGGAGTCTCCCAAAATAGGTTCTCGAGAGGAGATTTGCACAATTAAGACTTAATTCTAGAAAATCCTTTCAAGTTTTCTACTAAGTTCATTACTTTCCAAATTATTTTAAGTTCTTTACTGTCTGTGTGAAGTAGATGTGTTGTTGACTGTGGAATGTAAAGAAGCTTGGAAGTGGTGATGCATTTTCTGTATTTGTACAGGACATTGTGATCACACTTAATTTGTGAGCAATATTTCACCCCCATCTCTTAGCAGGGTTTCATTGCCTGGGAAGATCTCTGAAGTTTCACCCATGGGTGAACTTAGAGCCACTGTGTGGAGCTTAGTAACTGGGAAAGATAGTAATCATCTGCCCCAGTAAGACAAAAACCTTCAGGTTTCCTTTCCCTATGCCTTTACACCTACTTCACTGCTTTTTCCATTGACTGCAAAAAGTAGATCTTTTTCATAGCTTTCTTTAGAACATCAGAAGAGGAACAACAAAGGTTCCAGCTTTCCTAACAGGCTTTTCATCTCTTGATCTCAAAATTTCAGTCCATTTCCAGAAGGGCTGAGCCTGAACACAGCCTCTGTTTCCTGAGGAAAACAGAAAGGAGAGGCTAAGTGTCACAGTGAGCAGCAGCATTGTGGGGGATTAAATGTGTCTGGGCTAGAGAAGAAGACAGCACCACCTCACTGTGAATTCCTTCTCACACATAATACTGCAAGACTCTGAGTACCTGAATGCATTCTGTCTTCCTTGGCTTTCACAGCAGTCAGGCTCCCCTGTCTCTCCCTCTGGTTGGTCTTTCACTGGTCATACACCTGATGGGGCTGGAGCTTGTTTTCCTTGACCTGAATGTGACCTGAAAGGAGCAGATTGTATGAAGTGTAGGTTACTTACAAAAATGCACTGCAGGCCTGACAAACTGGGCACATGGGATCATAGAATGGTTTGGGTTGGTTAGGTTAGGTTTGGTTTGGTTTGGTTTGGTTTGGTTTGGTTTGGTTTGGAAGGGACCTTAGGAGTTCATCTCATTCCTGTGGCACAGATTGAAAGAGCACTGCAAGCACTGGGAGAAAGTGGTTGAAGCAGAGTTTTCATTTCTTTTTTCCATTACAAGGCTGCTGTGTAAAACAGCTCCAGGCTGCCTTTTCTCTGTTTTCTCCTCCAGGGTGGCTCCTGAGCTTCATCTCTGTGGGGGTAACTGGGTTGAGTGAAACAGCCATCAATGTTTTTCTTAGGTTGGCATGAGGAAAGATGGGTTTAAAATACTTTGAAATAACAGAGACCTGCAGTAACACTGTGGATAATTCTGTTCTGGCAGTGTAACTCATTTTGTAGCCTCTTTCCAAGTGCCTGACTGTCAGAGAAACAGAAATGTACTTAAACTGTGGTGGATAGTGTGCCTACAGACACTGCATCCTGTGAGTCTTTCTGCAAAGTAATCAAATAAAGATGTTTTTGAGGGTCTTATGGACTTGGGTTGATATCTGTGAACTAAACTAGTGGTTCCAGTCCCTACTTTTCCTTCCAGACCAGTCATTGCTGATTGTCCTCTCTGCTTCCCCCCACCCCAGTAGCAGCTGGGTGGTACCAGCAGGAGGTCAGAGGTCCAGCTTTCTACACATGGACACCCAGTGGAGGAACTGCTTCTGGAGTCCCAAGAAAAAATGGAGCAGAGCCTTTTTACTCTAAGGTAGCTCTGAGACGAAAATGTTGGCTAAGACATGTTTTCAGCCCTCTGCTAGAGGGGATTTGGAGCCAGAGCTCCTCCTGGTGGCCTCTTACCTGCTGCTGTCTCCATACAGGGAGACATCTTCTGTATGGAGGTGGCCTTTTCTAAAGAAATGGTAATAATCAGATATTTGGATTATGTTCAGATTAGAAGTAGAATAAAATAAGACACTGTCTTTTCAAGTTGCATTGCAGCAGATATGCAGCTGCATGTAGTTGCACATTGTATTATTGTGATTTTCCACCCGGCTATTTGGTGCCTGATTTCAGGTGTCTGATTTTAACATAGTGGAATGTTGTATAAACTCACTTGGCCCATCCCAGAGCTTGGTAGCAGGCAAGGCTGTTCTCTGATACCTTCCAATGGTGGGTTTGGGTGTCAGTTACATGTGGAAGGCACGTGAAGTTTTGTGCTGGACTTTTGCAGCAAACTGGATAATTATTTGCCAGTACAGCTTCAAGGATATAAACTCACACCTAAGTGGATAAAATGGACAAAGGCCATTAAATGTGCTGGAGAAGAAATGCTATAAGCAACAACAATAACAATCTTGAATATCAGTCTCCTGCCCTGGAATGGAAGGCAAAAAGATGTGCAACACAAGTACAGCAGCTCTCTGTCTGCCTTGGGGACTTAATGTTTCCAAGGACTTTGCTGCTGTGCAAACGGCCCAGCCATGCTGGGGAACTTCATCACTATGTAGACATCCCACACCCGGGCTCCTGTGCACGTACACAGTCTGCTTTTCCCTCAACACGAGTGCCACACAGTGCTACTGGGGTTTTTTGCAGTGTTGTTAGTCTGCACTGCTACCCCTGGAACTGGACTATAGTAATCAAAGTACTACTTAGCAAAGGAACTTATTGTCTAGAAGGTGACTTGGGACCACTCTCACTCTCGTGAAGTTTGTTCATATTAACAGTGATACAATAAAATACAGAGTCTTTGCAATAGAAATCACCAAACATTGCCTAGGATGCAGTTGTATTTTGCCAAAGGATCTTGGGCTGACAGAAGAGCTTCTTCAAATTTGTTCAAGCTTTTTCAAGCTTGATGCCTAAATTGTCTGGATGTGTGGAAGCTTACACACACTCAAAGTACTACACTCAGCAGAATTAACTGCATTGTTTATTTATTTATTATTGTGGGCATACTTGTCCATTTTCTGCTTGGGAGGTAAAGCTGTAATGTTGGAGTTGTTTTCCATGGTAAGACTCATATTTGAGGAAAATCAGTTTGGTTTCAGAATTCTGAAAAAGCCTTTTTTTGAGCCCAAGAACTGATTAGCTCTAAAGGAAATTAGGCAAGTAGCACAGTTTGCAGAAGAGCTGGCAAATAATGTCTTAACAGTTCATCGCCTAGTCAGCAGGAATGGAAACTGATAATCCATGAAGCATTTAGGTGTACCACTGTGAATGAATACAAAATAAATTGCCTAGGAATTAGGATGTCAATGATGAAGTACAGTACAGAGCTTGGTTTACAGCTTAAAAACTGACAAAAAACCTTTCCAAAATTTCAGTGGCCACTGCTAAAAAGAAGCTGAATATTCTTCAAATGCCCAGTGCTTTACTGAATTTATCTGCTTTGTCTAGTCTGCCTCCTCTACTAATGTGTTTAAGCTTTACATGGAATTTCTTGCACCTTAATTTCATTAAAACTCAGATTTCTTTTAAAAGTAAGTTTTTTAATGCAGAGTAAGTGTGCTGTACAGCTGGAGGTGTTTATGTCTGTTCTGTATGTGTTAAACCAGAGCACGTTAGAGGTCTCTGTAGCACCTCTGCCTTGCTGCAATCAATCAGCTTGTACTGGCACGGCCCACCCGTCTGTCTATCCACCACTCCCGCCTGGATCCTGAATCCTTTTGCATGCTTCACAAGTCTCCTACTCACCATTTTGTACAGTTAACAGATCCAGAACTCACACGCTCATCTCACAGGTCCCATACAATCTCAGGTGCCATCAGGTACCAACCCTGCTCCTCTGCCTGCTTGGTACCTCTGCTTGGACCCAGCACCTTCTGCTTGCTGACAGCTGCAGCTTGAGGTTTGCTAGTGAAGTGCACCCCACATCTGCACCCAGTGGCTTGGCAGAAGACACAGACCCTCCTGTGCCCCATGGCAGATGGTGCCACGCACCTGTGCCTGTGACTTGAGGTGTCAGTCCAGCTGCTGGAGCTGAGCCCCTCACCTGCTTTGTTCTCCCTCACAGTTACTGTTTTTCAGGATGCCCACTGTTCTTGTCATGGTGGCTGGTGGCCAAGACCACCACCCACTGTATTTAAGGAAAGATTTAAAAAAGAAGATAGGAGCAACTTTATTGATCAGGCACAGGGTGTGTTCAGACAAGTGTAGTGACCAGCAAACCAGACTGTTGTGTACCACTTCCTGTCTACTCCCTTTCCTTGTTTCTCTCCAGTCTCCTTTCACTAAACATTCTTGTGTAAATTTTTCTTAGTCACTACACCTCTCCCCTTGAACATCTCAAATCCTCACAATCCTTTTTTTCCCCCTTTTCTTATCAGTTATGAAGGTGGCCATCTCCAAATCAGGGCCTGGGAGTTTCTTTCAATCAGCCATCAATTAGTAACTTGAAACTTTTAATCCTCG